TAATTCCTTGAGTAAATAATAATACTCATAATGATAGCAACAATGGCAGCTATTGAATGCTTAGTATGACTCAGATACTGTTCTAAGCATTTTGCACATACTGATACCTTTAATACCAAAAATAACCCATATTACAGATCAAAAAATTGAGGCATGTGATGGTGAAATATTTTGCCCAAAGTCAAACCATCAGAAATTGGAGGAGTCAGTCTTAAGATTCAGTCATTCTTGCTTCAAGGCTTATGCATCTTCCAGTGTCCTACCTGTGAAGAATAATTAAGTCAGTAGCTCAGCTGCCATCTGGGCATTTGCAAACTCCATTCCTACTCCTATTGTAGCACTCAATCCCCATCCCTGTTTTTAATGCATAGTCATGGGATTTGGTTTCTTGATAGGGCTAGGTAGGGAAAGCAGTCATAAACCCACAAGATGAATATTTAGTTGGACAGAATAAGGTTGTTCATCCAATCTGCATTTTCTACAGATTTATCCAGTGATGGAAAAGTCGATGAACCGCACACGTCTTGCTCTCATTATCTGTAACACAGAGTTTGACAATCTTCCTAGAAGGTCTGGAGCTGATGTTGATATCAGAGATATGAAGAAGCTGCTAGAAGATCTGGGGTACAGTGTGGATGTAAAAGAAAATCTCACTGCTTCGGTAAGGACTATCATACTGTAGAGACAATGGCCATGCCCTTCATAATCCTAAGTAAGGTTAGAAAGCTTGGTTGTAGCACTGGGAAATGTAATCTCTTGATAGTCTAAAATCTAATTTTCCCATTGAAGAGTACTGGAGGCTACATATTCCCCTCTTACATAAGAGTCTTTTAGCAACAGCCTGGGGTAACTTTTAATTGGGAAGTGTTCTGTTAACTCAATAATGCCACCCTCTCTGTACTAGAAATCACTGGATGGCATCCTATAGCACTTTTCTTCACCTTTTTCGGTTTAAGGCTTAAATTTTTCTTTCCACTCCATTGATTTTCATGGAATTATTTAAAATTTTCCTTATGTGTTTCTTTATTGAAATTCCAAGATGCCATGATAGTCAATGACACAGTCCAAAATCAGTGATATGGTCTCTTTCAGGACATGACTACAGAGTTGAGGGCCTTTGCTGCCCGCCCAGAGCACCGAACCTCTGACAGCACTTTCCTGGTGTTCATGTCTCATGGTATTCAGAAAGGCATCTGTGGGAAGAGATACTCTGAACAAGACCCAGATGTGTTAGGAATCAATGAAATATTTCGAATGTTGAACACCTGTAACTGTCCAAATTTGACAAATAAACCCAAGGTGATCATCATCCAGGCCTGCCGTGGTGGTGAGTGATGATGTCTATGAGACAAGAGCCATTCACATACTGACCTCATCATCTGTATGCATCCAGTATTTTTCCATTTTGTGTGTGTGTGTTTCTTAACGTCTAAAAGCACTCGCTGTCACTAGTCAGGATTGTGGCTTCTCTGAATTGTATAGATGGTTAGTAGATATTTGTTCCATGTTCAAGCTTGAAGCCTTGAGGTCTGGATGTTGTTAGAATTTATTTGAGGTTTAGGAGAGATAAGGATAATTGAAAAGATAGTTCCTGACATGTATGTGTGTATGTGCATGTGAATGAAAGAGACAAATAAATTAATACACATGACTGAACAGAGGTTTAGAGGAGAAAGTAGATCTCTTAGAAATTGCTATAATTGGAAACAAAATCTTGTCTTTCCAGAGAACCATGGGGTGGTGTGGTTAAAAGATTCAGTACGAGCCTCTGGAAACTTATCCTTACAGACTTTAGAAGATTTTGAGGATGACGCCATTAGGAAGGCCCACATAGAGAAGGATTTTATTGCTTTCTGCTCTTCGACACCAGGTAATGGGTCTCTGTACAGGATATCTCTGTGAGGGTTACCAATACAGGAACCCACATCCACTCTTTAGAGCACAGATACCTGTGATGAACTTTCCATAAGATTTTGGAAGACCGACTCAAGCCTTTCTCCCAGTTATACATTCAATTTCCTTTATCCACAGAGACCAAATTTATATATACTTTCACTGAATTATGAATTAGTGAACTCCTCTATATGGTGCAAAATATTTTCCTGGAACTGTGAGGAATAATAGAGCATTAAAAGGAAAACTATCTACATTGTTACAAAAGGTATTAGTAAAATTCAATGGAAACCAAATAGGTGGGAGGGTGGATGAGGGGATAGGTAAATTTACACTTAATGGGTGCAGTATACACTACCTTGGTGATGGGCACACTTATAACTTTGACTCAAACTGCACAAAAGCAAATCATGTAATCAAAATGTTTGTACTCCTATAATATTCTGAAACTAAAAAAAATAATATTCCAAATAAATAAATAAATAAATGAAAGGAAGACTATCTTACACCGAAGTGAATTAGAATCTGACTTTGCATAGAAAAGGTCTGCAATGCTGGGATCACTCAGCAGGCCAATTTGCAAAAAAAAAAAAGTCAAGTATTTATAGGAGGATAGTGAGGACAGGGGGCACAGAAAGAGAAAGGCAGGTCAGGCATACTGGAGCCCTGAATTAATGTGGGTTTTAACTAGATATGTGAAGTGTATGAAGCAGAATACATCTCAGTGATTTTAAATGTAAACCTTGGAGTAAGAATCTTGCTATTATATCTTCACCCTACCTTTTAGTACTTTGTAAACTAGTTCCAGGTATTTAGTCTCTCTGGGCTTTTTTTGAATTCTTCACAAATACATATAAATATAAATATCATTGTTCTAAAGATTGAATGAGATAATGTAGGGAAACATTGAGCACAACTGAGTAAAGCACACATGAAATGAATGCTATTATTAAAAATGTTTATATTTTGTAACTTAACTCAGTTACTTTCCTTACCAAAGTTTAAACGAAAGTCATTCGAATCCTTTCATTCACTAGGTTTTGCAAATTCCTGAGGACTCACATTCTCTTGGTCATCCCTGGCCCAGAGGCCCTGCCTCTGCTACAGTAGTTTGCATTACAGATTTTCTGTACTGAGATCCCTGCTCAGGAGAGAGCCTGGTTCTACATTGTGTTGCCTATGTCCCGATTTTTTCCAATGATCAAAACAGT